CCCCCCCCCCCCCCCCCCCCGCTCAGCACTCGGCTCACGTGTTCATGCTCTCGACAAGAGCGAGTGACGCCGCCCTACGCACTGTCTCCGCGTCCGCCGCTCTCCGCAGGGGGGCCACCGCGGACGAAACGGCCTCCTCCACGAGCGCGAGGTACGCGAACACCTGAAGGACAGGACGACAAGACCGTTAAACAGGCGTTACGGCGGTACAAGCAAGAGTCGCGAATGTCTCGTGCCTCGGTCTCTTGGGGGGAGGGACGCGAAACACGCACACAAACGCCGCTGCTGTGGGTAAACCTACATACGGCGCGGGGACAAGGGGGCGTGCGCGCCCAGCATCGGTCGTCGACGTCGCTTGTCTTGTAACCCCGTTTTCGAATACTTGGGTGTGTGCGCACACCCCGGAATAATCGTTTTTCGTCAGACGCTTGAAACCGTCGACACAGCGGAGCGATTGGCCAATAAAATGCTGCCACTCAACACAGGGGGCTCCGTTGCATCAGCTTTCCGGGGGTACCATGTACGGCCGAGGGCCTAGAGATCCGATATAACACCCTCCTCCGAGAAAGGAACATTACTGCGGAAGAAAACGGGCCGCGGGTGTCACGATTCGACTATTTAGAAACACCGGCGACGGTACCAACCTTGCAGCGAGCAAGGGATGCACTCTCTACTGAACGGAATCCGGCCGCTACCTGCCAAGTGCCAGTCTCTTCCGGTGATACTTGCGACGGTCACCAGCAGCTGTGCGCGCCGGTGGTTGGCGCGCTTGGTGTGCCTTTGGTGTGGGGGTAATCCCGCTTTAACCTCTCTTTTTCAGCTCTGTCAAGATATGCTCACGGTTCCCTCCGAAATTTTGTCCTGTTTTCTGGGGTTCTCTCTTGCTCCATGAATAACGCTTTCGGCAACGCGCACGCGGGAGCTGCAAAGCCCTTTTAATACTCCTCGGTAGGTGAGGAGTGCAAGAGGCATATTGTACACCCTCGTGGGTTTCGTGTGTGAATGTCTACCCACGCAGGCAATGCTTGTGAGTCAATCCAAAAGAGCGTCCACGAGGCTGACTGGCATCGATGTACGCGCCTACGAGAGCAGCAGCAGCGAGAGAAAGATAGACAACATCCGACAGCATGCTGGGATGGGGACTCGCCTGCGGTGTTGATGCTAGTCACCTGTGGAGCAGCCTCTGTGTGGCTTTTGTGGTGATGTGCTGTAGTACAATTGTAGGCCATAACCAAGACTACAAATTTCCGTCCAACAAAAGTGCCGGGCGAAGAAGCTACGAGATTGTTTCGAAATGCTGTAACGTGTTTTAAGTCGGTGCTAGCGGTGCTCCTGCTTAGAGTAAGGCTATAAAAGTTACGCAGGGACTGAGTCCGCGCGCTTGAACTGCTCTCTGTTGGGGACTTGCGGAGCACAGACAACAGCAGCAGTCCGAGAACCTTCGAATGCTAGCAAGCAAGGTTTGTTTTCTATAAACTAATTTGGAACACTCGACCCAGACGCATATGTCGCGGCCCACATGCCGCTGCCCCGCACTCTCAAAATACTGGTTCGCCAATACTGGTACGCGCATCATGTACTTTAACTTTCGCCTATGTGCGTCGCGATGAGGCTGTACCTCTTGATCGACCGGAATGCCGTCCGTGACGCAAAGGATGCCCAGCTCGGCTGTCACGTAGAGATAGAAGACGTGGTCTCCGTCGTGGTGGCGGACCCTTTCGATCCCCGTGAGCCCTCCTCCCCCGTCCGTCCGCGACCCTCCTCCTGCTCTGTCGCGCCCAAGCCGTTTCCGGCCCATCTGGGCAAGCATTAATCACACACCAGGCGCGGTTCAATTTTGAGAAAATTAACACATAGGTACTCCTACATATCACTTGAAAAGACTATGCTGCCCGTTCGAGAGAATACCACAATAACAGCCCAAGTGATGCGTGGGGAAGTCTTTGCAGTGCTGGACTGAAACGTTTGTTCCGTGGCGCCTCCTATGCATATTGCATATTCGGGCGCGAAAACGGGCAAACACGCCGCTTTGTGAGAGTGAGAGATAAACGATTTATATGATTTTGATCTCGGTACTATTGTGCATGTGCCTACATAACAGATGCGCTGCTGCCGATATTTCACGCGAGTTTCTTGGGGGAACTTGGTGCCACGACCGCCGCGCGGCGCGTGGTGTGTGTTTGGCAAAGGAAATTGAGAGTGCACATCATTGGCACCTTGCGGGTGCGTCTACACAGCAGCAGCAGACAGACACGAGGATATCACTGCACGAAGCTGGGCTGTGCATACAGCAAGTACATATTAAGTAGCTTTGCGACTTGCCGTTTTTTGTTGTTTTTCTTCACTTGATGTCAGCGCTTACAGCACTGACTGACTGACAGCTGACAGCACTTGTGCCGTTTACTCCAACCCGTGGTCACACAAGAAGGGTTCCTCTCCCTGAGGTCCCCTACCCATCCCTCCTGCTGTACCTACTTCGCCTTCGTTGATGCTTCCAACAAATTTCACTGCAGCAACACAGAAACAACTACTGCTGTATCCCGAAGAACAGAGCATGCTGATGGGGGCGGGGTACCTGTGTGCAGTTCTTTCGCTGCGGGAAAGGCGGCACCTCGTTGCACGCGAAAACACGTGGTTTGCTCGTGGTGCCCAGCTGCTGCAATTGGTACCTTGGTACAACACTCACCCCCGATGCAGGAGATTGGTGAGGCAGAGTGTCCATGAGCCTGCAGACAACGTCCGAGAAGTTGCCCTGGTAGCTGAAGGCCGTGTAGGAGGCCAGCACCTCTCTGTCTCCGCCGGACAGGAAGTCACTTGGCGGCGTCAGCGACACGGCCTTCCTCTGCCTGCCTTTCCTGTGCCGCATTGCCTGCCTAGGCGCCAGGGAGGCAACTGCGGTGTGGATAAGCATTTTGCCCGTAGAAAAGGAGAGCAAGAGCACAAAGCAAGGATCAACGTCCAGCCAGCAGCAGAGGGGGGGTGATCGGACTGACTCTGTTGCCGCTCATCAGGATCTCATTGGTTGGAGGATCTCTCGTCACACTCTGTCCTCCCTCTGTCTCTCTCTCTCTCTCCCTGTCCCCTCTGATCTAGCTTGCTTAGCTGTCGCGTGCCCACTGCTCCGAGGTCTCTGATCTGTTCAGCACTCTCCCGGGGGCGCGGACCACCCGCGCTCCAAGAGGACTTTCACGGTGCCCCCGGGGGCCCCGCGGATTCAGCGGGCAGATGAGAAACGACCCGACCGACCGCCGACCGCCAGCGGCATCACGCACACACACAGACCCAGAGCAGCAGACAAGAGGACGGCGGGGGTCGGGGCTACATACTTGATTTGCGCTGGTAGATGTGAGCGCTGGTCGTGTACATGCGGAAGTGGGGGGCTGCTGCAAGTACAACCGGAGAGGCTGCTCCCTTGTTGGCGTGTGTCTTCAAGAACTTGGCTGCAGCGCGTCCCTGCTCACTGAACTTGTGCTGCTCGGCACTGCTGCTGCTGCAGGTTCCTTTTTTGTGTGTGTGTTTCGTGCCTGCTGAGTGTGCGTTGCCGTCAAAAGACCCGGGTTGTTTTGCCTTCCAGAGCTGGCTCCTCCTTCGAGCACCGCGTGGGCACTCCGACGCGGCGGACGCGTTTCCGTTGGCGCATATTGTCGTCGGCTCTGCCGCCGCGGGTTGTCTCTCTCGGGAAAAGAGCGGGTGAAGAGAGTGACTCCTGTGTGTGACAGCTCGAGGTCAAAACGCAACCCACGAACGGAACTCACATACAAATAGCCGGGGGGGCGGGCTTGCGAGGGGTGGTGGGTGCAGCAGCAGCAGCAGCAGCAGCAGCAGGAGGAGGATGAGCAGCAGGAGGGAAAGGAGGAACGATGAGGGAAAGCCGCCTTCGAACCCCAGGGGGTGGCCTGACCGGACGACCGCGTTGGACTTGGAGGGGCGCCGCCATCGAGAAATTTCTCTCAACGACGACCAGCATCACTGGTTCTGCAACAACTTCGTCCGCACCAGCAAGGTACGACCGAGTCAGCACAGCATCAGCACAACACGCCAAAGGGCGATACATGTAGATACGCGGGCGGGCTGCTGTTTACCGAAGATCGTATGCGTACAATAGCAACCATGCGGACCAGATACAGACAGAGGTACATGCCGGCACTGGATTATTTGGACCCTGGTTTGGTTTCTCTTGGATAAATAAACGGAACCCTGCCTGAGTGCGGGGGAATTAGCGGGGGGTATAGGGCGGATGCCGGAGGTTTGGACGGGGAAAATTGATTCCGTCGACATGGAACACCTCGGAGACCGGAAGCGAAGAGATGGCGACGCCCTATCCCACGTGCTGAGCTATCGCTGTGTGAAAGGGGCCTTGAGACGCCACAATAACGCCCCGTGATTCGTATCCCGAGGCAGCATGGACGTGACAATTTTTCTACGTTAGGCAAGGTCGTACGTATGTATAGACGCTGCTGCTGTGTAGCGCATTGATTGGTTGCTCGGGGGGTGACGAGTTGACGGCATGAGCAAAAAATTGCAACACTTATACAGAAGTCTTCTGCTGTGAGCAAAGAAACATAACGTGATGGACCTGTTGCAAGTTCATAGTCGTATTTCTGAAACAAGGCAGGTGGTGGTACGTGTGAGCCAGGATACAATACGGAGACTTGAAAGTGCAACCAAGTTACTTCCCCAAGATTCAGCAGATTGGGGTACAATGGGATCGGGTGTCAACCATCCACATATTTTTTCTCACTAACAAAAACCTGGTCTAAGTTGGAAGCGACGCGCTGCAAAGCTCGTCGTGAGTAAACTAGATCGACTTCATCCGTCGCGAGGGAAGGGATTGCTGTACCCTTCTCGCGATAACAATATCTCAGGCAGGAACCGTAGGCGGGGGGTCCAACCCCCCCCCTCCTATGTGACCCCGGTTGGGTCGTCTAGCTGGTAGAAGTGGAGGATGGGGGCCAGAGGGGCAGACGACAGAGTCCAATGATGGGAGAAAAAAAAAAAATATATATATATATATAACACAGGCAAAAAAAAAAAAAGTACGCCAGAAAAAAAAGAAAGTTCAAGTTCAAGCGACGTGTCGGGTTGGGTACATGTGTGCAGTTAACCCATCAGGAACTCCGGTGAGGTTGCCGGCACAGCAGATGCATATTGCCTTCTCTGGTCTGTAGTGTATTCGAGCTCTTGCGCGGTGCGCAAACGGCGAGATGCTCATGTTGTAATGATTGTATGCTCTGCATACATCGCCCCGGTGGTCTAGTTGGTAACCCCGAATTCCTCTAGAGGTCAGGTCAGGGGTTCGAATCCCGGCGTAAGCGAGCTTTTCCTTGGAAAGTGAGTTTTTCTCTCGCTTCCGCTCCTAGCCTAGTGGATAGCGCTGGTTCGTGTGTACACAGAGGGAAGAGAGTGCTGAACTCTTCTCGCATTAAAAATCGAAGGCAATGTACCGCAGGAGGGGAGGGTAGAGAGGGCACTTCTGTGTGATCACGGGTTGGAGTAAACAGCACTGATTCTGTGAGCGCTGATTTGAAGTGAACAAAAAAAAAAAAAAAAACATACATTGTCGGCGGAAAAATGGTTGGGTGGTCGGTTTCGGCTCGAGGGCATTCGGCACAGCAGCGCTTGCGGACGATGAGAGGACGAGCCCTTTGCCCCCGAGCGTATCGAAACCCGCATATATTTCGCGTTTGCACAAACAATGCCACTGCCCCACATTTCTGCCAGATCGCTGAGCACAACACCCCGAAAGACATGCTTGATATGAGGTATCTCCACGCATTTGCAGGGGTGAGAGCTGCTGCTCAAGCTATCGGTAGCCGCACGTGCAGTAGTACTTTAGTAAATAGCTGTGCAAAAGCTTTGTCGCGGGCTGAAGTGCAGCCCACGAAAGCAGAGGTGTACAGCACAGTACATACACGTGTACAAGAAAAAAGCGGAGAATTGTCGGCAAAATCGTGCCCCCGGCTCTCTACCCCTCTCTCTACCCCGCACACAACAATCGCACATGCATACACTGACAGGAGGTGGTCTGAGCCCCGTCCGGCGAGCTCATTTTTTTTTTTACGAAACGTGCCAGTGTGTTTGTTTACTGCGACCGCTGACGGCTGCTACTGCGTTTTTTCATGCTCTGCCTTTTGCTTGCTTGTCTTTGTCATACGTTCTGCCTGCTCTTTTTTTCTGTTCCCCAATGACACCGCGGGCGCCAACAACAACATGGAACGGCACGAAAACCCGTGTTGAACCGACATGGAACCCCACGGAACGCAATAACGGCGATGGAACGTGCCGGGTACTGCATGCCGAACCGGAACCGACGTCGGAACAACCGCGGGATATGCCACGGAATCGAACTGGGTACCGGAATGGAACGGAACCGCGATCGAAACAAACGGTAAACCGGGACACGATACAATTTTCGTCGGCACAAACAACCCGTGCCACGTCCACAGTACACGCATTGGGACTTCTTGCCGAGGTTCCTGATGGAAGAGTTCCACCCCAGGAGGAAGATGGCGAACGCCTACTTCCTGGTGCTGGCTTCCCTCCAGACCATCCCCGAGATCACCAATACGTTCCGTGTGCCGACCATCCTACTCCCCCTGTCGGTGGTCGTTATCGTGGACGCGGTGTTTGCCATTCTCGAGGTGCGCGTGTAGATGGTTCGGTGCCACTTGCGAGAGAGCGATTTGGTTTTGTGGTGGCAGGGGGGGGGGGTTCCGTGTCCGTTGGAGGGGTAGGTCGTCAGACTGGACGCTCTCTCTGCCTGTCTCAAGAGGCAAACGAGCAAAGGGAGAACATTTCGTTCATGCTGCCGTTCCCGTTACAGCGAGAAAGAGTTTTAAGATTTTGCATTGGGAGGGGGGGGATTGCAACATGTGTCTCGGTGTCTCAGGCATGTATCAAATAGAAATAGATTGGAGACGGCGAGACTGTGTCGTAGGGTACGAGGCTTCCAGAAACAACAAGCGCATTTTGTGTGACTCTCGATCTCTCTGTTGCGTTTCTCTCCCACCCCTCCCCTGTGCCTCTCCACGCATCTCTCTCCCCGGTGCCCCCCCCCCCCCGCAACAGGATGTGGGGCGACATCCTGCCAACCCTAAGGGCAATGCCTCCCCGACAAGGGCGCTGGACGTGGACCTGCAGCGTTCGGCGGGAAAGTTCCCCCGTGTGGAGTGGAGGGATGTACAGGTCGGGGATCTGCTGCTGGGTGAAAAACCGAGAGAGTGTACCCGGGGATCTCCTGGTGAGGAAAGAGGCTTTCGCGAGGGGGGGGGGGGCGGGGCATACTTTCGGCTGGAATCTTTGCTGTTCGTGGAATATTGCAACATCATCGGCTTCGTTTGGTGTTGTTGACGGGAAGGTAAGGGCGGGCAAGGGAATGCATCCGTGAAGAGGAGGGCAAACAATAGGGCATATACCCTGGTCGAAAAACGACTCAGCGGGGTACGCACTTTTTGACAGCGTCAAATGAGCCCAGCTGATTGGTCAGCGTCCACATTCACCCTGCCGTGTCCCAATTTGCCGGTGGTATACCCTGCCACGGCTGCTTTTTCTCCAGAATTGTACCCTGATTCCGGAAATGTGCCCTGATCTGACCGGACTTGGGGCCCTTTCATCAGGGCCACCACGAGCTCGCCGCCAAACCAGCGCACATGTGCTTCCGTCTCTTTCGACATGGCAACCATACAACCCCCGCCGCTTGTCGACGCTGTTGTTGAAGGTAAACACACACCGCCGTACTTCGGTGATGGGCCGGTCACGAGCGGCCCACCTGACCTTACAACGTTCCCCACCAATCGCCGCCACCTTACGCACGTTTCAACGCGGTCGCTGCCGGCCAACACCTACCGTGAGCCCAACTAACCTCATGACCTTCCCTACCAACCGCCGCCACCTCCACCGCGTTGTTGTTGCCGGTAATTACACAGGTGATGGGCGCGCACGAGCCCAACCCGCAGGCGAAGGCCGGCATCTGCTACGTCGAGACCAAGTCTCTCGACGGAGAGACTAACCTCAAGATCCGACAGGCCATCCGGTCCACGATCGGACGGGTGTCGACGCCGCGCGACGCCGCGGCGCTCAAGGGGCGCGTGGTGATGGAGCACCCGAACAAGCTGATCGATAACTTCTCGGGGACCATCGAGGTGGAGGGGGCCGGCGATGACGGCGGGTCCTGCAGGTGTGTGTTTTTTGGGTGTCTATTGTTGTTGGTAGTAGTGGTGGTGGAGGTGGTGGTGGTGTTATTGTTTTGTGTTGGTAGTGGTGATAATGATGGTGTTGTTATTGTTGCTGTTGCTGTTGTTTCTCTTGTTGCTGCTGTTGTTGTTGCCGTTGTTGTGTGTTAGTGCTGCTGCTGTTGTTACTCTTGTTCGTTGGTGCTGCTGTTGTGGTTGCTGTTGCTGCTGCTGCTAATCTTGTTTGTATTTCAAGGAGAGCCCAGCCAACTACCCGCTACTCTCTCTCCCAAAAAAAAAACACGCGCACTTGTTCTCCCTGATACCCACACCTCTTACCTTATCACTGGTTGAGCCTGTGAACAGCATGCAACATATCAAGGGGTTTCCATGGAAACGAGGCCGAAACGGCGGCATTTTGATCCCCCCCCCACCCCCACCCCCCGTCGACGTCGTCGTCTCTGACCATGTCACACGAACACACACATGCTTTAATTGTTTTGAGTTTTTCTGGGCAACGTCCATTCTTAGTCCCCTCTCCCTCCCTTCCGGGGACCCTTTTATTCTCTTCACCTTTTCACGCTCGAAGTGATTTCATTTGGTCGACCGGTTGGACGCGATCGGTGGTAAATAATGAGAGAACACAAGTCTGACACTCACGTTCGCACGCACGCGCGCGCGCGCAGGGAGGTGATCCAGACGCGAAACCTTCTGCTCCGGGGCTGCGTGTTGCGGAACACTCGGTGGGTGGTGGGGCTAGTCCTCAACACCGGCCCGGACACCAAGATCGTCATGAGCTCCCTAGAGGTGAGCTCCTGGGGGGGGGGGAGGGGGGGAGGGGAGGAGGGGGGCGTACTCATTTGTTGCTTGCCTTAGTCATTTGACCATTGACCACGCGTCCCTTTCGAGACGGAGCACCGTTCCTACCCCTACTAGAGACACCACCAACATTTGGGAGCTCTTTACTTTTCTGCCACAAACTACATAAAAATTTCTTGCACATCTTATCCCTGTCCTCTAGGGAGGGGGGGGGGGGGTTGACAAGTGTCCTTTTGGTAGAAAATGTGTGCTTGTAGAAAAGACGGTGAAGTCCACGTTTTCTGTCGTGATCTTTGTCGCCGAAAAAGGTGCCACATGTGTTTCGATCAATCGTAAGGGGCGATTAGAGAAGCAACACTCCCTGCGAAGGTGTGCCGCGAGCGTCCGCCACCAGTTTGCGTCATCCCCTAGGGTGTGCGACGAGCGTCCGCCACTATTCTGCGTCACCCTCTAGGGTGTGCGACGAGCGCCCGGCACTATTCTGCGTCACCCCCTTGGGTGTGCCACGAACGTCCGCCACATTCTTCGTCTTTGCACTCGTGAGCACCAAAGAAACGAAAAGCGCCGCGAGACTCGTGGACGCATACGTACCAACTTCTGTTTTTTTTTTTATTTTTACGTTTTTGCGTGTTTTGGTGTTGGTGCTTTCCGTTGTTGTTCTCAATGCAAATGGTCGGCTTGGTGTGTTGGGAAGCGAATTGTGACGTTTGTTGGTTGTTTGCTTCATGCATGGTGCCGAAGGCGAGACTACGTCCATCTTCCCCCCTCCCCCCTTTTCAACCCTCGCTTCCTTTCCAATACCCAAAACACCCACGATCAGTCGTTTCAGAAAACCCTTGTAAGGCAACAGGCGCATACATTGTACGCAGACGTGGGGGTTCCGCCATTCAAGTGTGCTCTCATCGCCCCCCCTCCCCTCTTCCACCGCCGGCCCCCCATCATGAAGACTGCTTTTGTCTGTGCAACGATAGCGGTCACCCCCTGCAGAAAACGGAGCTTGAACCAAAACAATTCACGGATCTTGTCTCGCGGTCTAACCGCCCCCCCCCAAAGTCAGTGGTCTAACGACTGCATACGGCATGCGTTTACACGTTTGCATGAATACCCCCCTACACCGTCA